CGTTTATTCCAACGTTGATTAACCAAATAACGTTTATTTCAACGTTGATTCTACAAAACAACGTTTATTCCAACGTTGATTATCAAGACAATTATTTCAACGTTGATTTAACAAATCAACGCTAATTTCAACGTTAATTCAACATAACAACGTTTATTCTAACGTTGATTAACCAAATAACGTTTATTTCAACGTTGATTCAGCAAAACAACGTTTATATCAACGTTAATTTAAGAAAACAACGTTTATTTCATTGTTGATTTAACAAAACAACGTTTATTTCAATGTTGATTCAACGTTATATGCCTGGTGAGCTAGCTTATGTCATGTCGGTCGCCTATTTCTCGTTGTTAAGATATCACCCGTGGCTTGCATTCCCACATCGACACGGCACAACTCGCGACAACTCCTGAATCACAGGAAGTGAACTAACCCTGATTTTTTAGATTTCTTTTTTTATTTTGATTATATATTGAAAAAAAGGGGGAAGGGGTCAAAATTTGAAAAAAATATATTTGCATTAATCTCGCAGTTATCCCTTTAACCGGCCGGTTTTTGCTGTCGAGGGATATACAGGGTTATTCATGCAGACAATTTAATAAATTGTATATATTCATATACAAATTCAAAATGAATAATTTATTCACCCATAGAAAAAGTAAGATTCCAAATTTTCTTTAACGTATTCCAACACTATTATTGATTATTTTAATTTATTCTATTTTTTTTGGCTTAGTCACTTGAACTCACTTCCTGTGCGTTGGATAGGACGCATAGGCAACGAAGATCTCCACGCTTCTGGCCACCGAGATCACCTGATCTCATCCCATGTGACTATTTCTTATGGGGTTACGTCAAGAAACCTGTTTACGTCCCGCCTCTACCAGCAACTCTGTTTACGTCCCACCTCTACCAGCAACTCTGTTTACGTCCCGCCTCTACCAGCAACTCTGTTTACGTCCCGCCTCAACCAGCAACTCTGTTTACGTCCCGCCTCTATCAGCAACTCTGTTTACGTCCCGCCTCTACCAGCAACTCTGTTTACGTCCCGCCTCAACCAGCAACTCTGTTTACGTCCCGCCTCTATCATCAACTCTGGTTGATCTGAAGAACCGCATCACTGCTACGGTGCACTCAGTAACAAAAGATATGCCGTGCAGCACAAGGGGGATATATTGAATATTTGTAAATATCTAAAAAAAATTTAATCTTTGTCTTCCCATTGGTATATAAATCATTTATTTTCAATTCATACTTAAATATATACGGATTCGTTGAATTGGGTCTATCTTTTAGAATAACCCTGTTTTATTCTTCATGTAGAGCGTGTAATGAAATGATTTTTGAAGGAACTTTATGTAATTGTCGTCTTCAGCAGCTATTTTCCTTTATGTAAGAAAAGGTTTGATTTCACTTATGAGCTTGCATTTTTAAACTTCGGAACTGGTAGGCTTTTATGGCATGACTGATTCAACTGCATCCCTGTAAGTGTATGACTGCACATCTGAACAGGTTGAATAGCATGTGTAAACAGGTTGAATACCATGTGCGAACAGATTGAATTTCATGTTCGAACAGGTCAAATTGCATTTTTGAATAGACGAAGATACAATTTTGATAGAATATCATTACATTCTGGGCGGGTTCAATTGATCGACGTGTTTCGTTATATTTGTTTATTACTCGATTAACATAAAAAAATTGTTTCGTTCCTGACGGGTTCAGAGATAGGAGTTAGCAACCTGAGGACGTTTGTACGCAACAGAGAACATTTTAAAGTTGTCGTACGTGGCGGCAACCATCAGTGCAAGTCATTTGCGCTCACTTAGAATGTATTCATTTTGGGGAGTATAGCTTGTGACAATATTGCTCCGGTTACACATGTCAGGCGGTAGGGAGTTAAAACTCGTTTTCGCTGCGTATAGCAGCTTCAGTAGCGGTAGATTTGTAGTCTGATTGGTGGTTTACACTTTAAAAGTCGACAGTGATTGGCTGATGTTGTTAGAAACTCTAAACTATACATGAAATACGGCGTCAGCACTGCCCAAAACCTTCAAAATTATTAAATTCCTTCTCATACGCAAGCACGCTAATGGGTTTGAGTACAAAGGGTAGTGGGCGCTGTGGTGCATGGAGTTCAGGGACAATGCTCCTGGAGCATGAGTTCTGTAGTTCCGATGAGCCAAAACACGCGTCCACTACTGATTAATGTCCTGACAACCTGACATTCTGAATAATAGAAGGAAATAAATTCACGGCATTTGTAAAATAATAACATAACATAATATAGTGATGTCGGTGCCTATAAGAGTAGGCCTGATCTGGCCTGTCGCCGATTCTTGCACTTTTCGGGATAAAAAGCGTGATCTCAAAGCATGTCCTATGCAATGACCGGATCATTTCAAGACTGACGATAGTTTGAAATAGCTACTAGACTTCCATCAGGTTCGATATGGTGCTAGGCAAGTCTGAAAATATATTTTTCCATTGCTTTATCTAGTCTGTTCTTGAACGCGTTTATACTCAGAGCGTCAACGATGCCATCAGGGAGGCTGTTCCACATGTCGGTGATTCGATGCGAGAAGAAATGTTGCGTGGATGAGTTGCAGCGCAGTTTTTTAGTCGAAATAAATAGAGATCGAAAATGACTGATATTTGAAGCACGTTTAATTTGACACTAGGTAAGTAGCTCAACGCAATGGAAGTCTGGCGACTACCTTCTCTTTATGCTGATTAATGCTCATTTTCGTGATAAACGTGATTTATTGAAAATATCAGCATCGTTTTGAATTCAAACTGATAAGCTGCACCTCGACTCCTTACTTTGTTAGCCTTCTGGGAGGCATCTTTTTATACAATGAACAGACGAACTTCTAATACATTCTAACTCCTAGCGCTTTAAACAAATGGACTTTGTTCCAGAATAATTATTGACGCCTTAGTGACATTCGTTCTACGCTCAGGAAAGCTATTAAATTAACAGAAATCTTAGACGACTCTTTTGACGAAACCTGTTTAAATGAGTTTTTTTAGGTTTAACTCTTTTACTTCACCGATTATGCAATAGAAAAATTGTTATACAACCTACACGTTAGCAGCTCATTTAGAACTTCCCCTCAGGGGGGACTTCTGACGCGTGTCTGTGCGCGTCAGAAGTCCTATGGGATTTCGCTTTCCTAGGGGGATTGTTCCTGAGCGCCCCACCGCTGACCTCGCGGTGTCTGACTGTAGGTCTCAGTTCTGGGGTTAAGTTATTATGTAGGCATGATTCCTTATATTTCCATTCTCTGTCTCTCTCGTGCGGGCGGCCGACGTCCCGTGTAAGCGACCTCTTGTTCGAGTGTCTTCGCTTCTGTTGCTTTTCACCTGTCCCTCCTTGTCACTTCGTCTCTTTGAGATGCTAACGCTGCTTCTTTCGAGCCAGCTTCAGCGGGCTGGACAACTGAGACCTTCCGCCCCTTGTGGGTGATGAATAATTGAGACCTTCCACCTCTATGGTGATGTTCATCATGACTTTCGATGCGAGATAGCTAAATAGCTGAAGCGCTAGTAAACATTTAGCCACTAAACTAACTAACTCATTTAGAACTTTCATGATATCTTCAGTTCCTACTCACATGCTATCACGATTTAACGTAGGCGGTCCTTTGTTTCATAGACGGGTAAGGGAAATAATATAGATATAGAACCACTTTTCCAATTTTATATAGATTTTTCCAGGTCCATTTCACCGAGTTATCAACGAAGGCACGAGAGAAAAAAAAACAGGAAAAAATCTTACTCTGCACCTCTTCGCTCACGATTTGGGCAATTTTCCCGTAACCTCAGGTCAAGTTAAAAAAATATTCTAGCAATGAGCCGTCTTAACAAAAGAATCTTCAAATCATATCAGCAAATAAACTGCTCGTTACTTCGCCACATTGGCCGTTGTAAACTATTATCAGACTCGAATCGTTCCTGAAATTTAACAGCCGTACAAAGTTATACATACTAAACTTTAGCTTTGAAATTAAACTTTTTTGTCAGTGGAGAGTCAGGTTTGGAAAGTCGTGGAAAGATTTATGGCAATTTCAAATAGTTTGAATCGCTCCTATCTTCTGGACGTCGTTGCTCATTACTCACAAAATTCATCTAAAAGGGGAATGTGCTTGCCAAGGGAGTAAACGAGTAAAAGAATTAAATCTTTCTCAACTTGTGGAGATCACGACAAAACTTGCAAAAATTCTTAAGCAATTATGGTGGAATTTGAGCAGCACAAAAAATTATAAGTTCATAATTCTAATTATGGGAATTACAGGAAAGGGTTGATCGCGTTTATTATTCAGTAGGAAGGAACAAGCAAAATTCAAACAAAACAAGCAACAGTAGGATAGAACAAAATTATGACTGCCTCGCTTTCACAGCGAACAAGGCTACTAAAGTTTAGCATAGATTAAAAACTGACTAGTTAGAACAAGGGAGTAAAACACAGTGAAGTCTAAAATTAAGATATACAAAAATGCGTTGATAGAGACTGATTTCTGCTATGCAATTCCATTTCTTAATCAAATTGTGAAAATCCTAGAGTATGAGACGTGGAAGATTGCATACCATCTGGAGCGAATGATTGTTAGAAACCAAATTCTTTTTAATCAAAAGCGAGCACCATAACGTAATATAAATTTCACAAGCCCCAACATCAATTTAGTGAAAATCTTTGTCAACAGCTGTACAAAAAGTCTAAGAATTATATTGTAAAAAATAGCAGGCAATCTAGGATGCAGAACCTCATTACGACCACCAGACAGAGTCTAAGGAATACGAGGTGTGTGATTGCATCCAATGTTGAATGTCGAATGAGTCAAACAAATATATTGTACATGATTGTATGCAATGTAGGACGCGAAACTTCATTACGACCACCAGAAAGAGTCAAACAAATATATTGTACACGATTGTAAGCAATGTAGGACGCGAAACTTCATACAAACATCTAATCAGACTGGTTACCTCTCTCTCACCTGGGCGAGAATATTGTGGTCCGGGTCGTGATGCAACGGGCTGACTGTTCCTTTGGGCCCAAACCAAGCATGCAATCTGGGCTCAGTGTTGCCCAGATGACAATAGTCAGGAACAATAATGTCGTCCAGCAGTTCTGGGATCTGGTCCAGCAATTGGTGCTGGGCTAGGTAACCAGGAGGCCCAGTAGTTTGTGCCACGTACCGTGAGATGTACTGATCCAGGGTGATAAGTTCCTGCCAACACACAACTCAGATATTAATAGGATAATTACTTTCATAATTAAAATGATCAATGAACTGAAATATCAAGTAAGTAAATAGAGATCAGTTACTATGGCAAGTTTGAGATTTAGTATAGTACAGATTAAATTAAAGAAATAAATAGATATTAAATAATCAATTTAGAATAATTATTGTTGCTTTTCAAACATTTCATTTAATACAAAAAATTCAGATGTTGTAAGTTTATGGATTCAGAAATCAGATTCATCTAATGCATATTTATGTTTTCATTTCAAAGATTCATTTATTGTAAATTTATGGATTCAGAAATTAGATTCATTTAATTAAAATTTATGATTTCATTTCAAAGACTCATTTAATGCAAATTTAAGGATTCCAAAATCAGTCAATTTGAACACATGAAAAAAAGTTGCCCTTAAAGCTGACCTGCGCCCAATCATTGTCAGTGTAGCGAGCACCAACTTCTATAGGTACAGTACGGCCCCCTGCCAGGTTTCTGAGGTATCCAAGATTCCATTTGTGCAGAGCAGGCCAGTGGTCTAACACACCCAAGAGCTTCACTGGCTCAAGCTTCATAATGTGATCCATAAAAAAGTCAGTCACAGCTGGGAGATGTTTACTGCCAAGCTCATCTCTTAGTAAGTTCTCAAATTTGTTTCCTGAGTTCAAGTTTTTTACTGATATTTTTTCATATGTATTTTCTGACAGTTTTCTCTTTCCTTGATTCTTTGTGGCTTTTTGTAGATGCAGTTCATTTTTTGATGTATTCTGACAAGATAGTAGATTATTCAAGCTGGAGCAGGAAGAGAAGTCATCAACAGAATTAGAAGCATTTTTCCCCACATCCAATAGCGTTTTTCTGCACATTATCATGTCACCGTTGATTCCAGACTGACTATTTTCTAAAACACTTGTAACATTGTCAGAGTTTTTGCATTCTAAAGATAGTTGTCTTCTTTCTGAGGAACATGGGCAATTTTTTGAGTTCAATTTATCACCATGTATCACATTTTCATTTTGATTCTGCAGTTCTTGAACATTGAAAGTATCCTGAAATTCCTGCTGATCCTCTACAGGATCATTCAAGCCACGCTCCTCCAAAGGAATATCAAGCCGAGCTAATGAGTTGAGGAGACTTGCACAAGGAGATAGAGGACTGCTTGGCAAGGGAGCTCCCATGAGGAGACCCATATCAATCAAGCGCACAATGCGGGCAGTGGCGGCAGCAATGGCTCTCATTGAGAGACTAGCAGTTTCCAAATCTTGCTGTAGTTTCTTCAGTAACAAGCTCACAAGGCAGACACTACTCCATGTGTATAAATAACGCCACTGGATGCCAACATCTTTCCAGTTTTCTGCAATAATTTAGAAAAAACATTACCAATAACTTTATCATTGAGAAATTCAAGTATATGAGAAGTCATCAAATGAAAATACAAAATTCATCACTCACTGGAATTTAGCTGCTGCCATGTGTAGTCAAGCAGGGCATTGCTGCGGATGATAGCCAACTCCAAAGCATTGCAAGAACTCCCATGCTGCAGGAAGATGGGAGAGTGTTGTTGGGCATTCACCAGTACTGAACTTTAATCTAAAACCAATTTTATAAAAGATTCCAATTATCATTGACTATTATTACAAAAACTCCATGAGCAAATATTTAGTCAAAATATTACCTTGCTTCCCATAATTACTGAACACATTTTTGAGATAATTGTGGCACAAATTACAATTTAACAAGTCTAATATACGGTACTGAACGAGAGCATAGTAAAACCTACCAGCTTGGTACTCAAGGAAGACAGACAGTAGAAAAAAATTATAAGTGGAATGGTTAAATAGAATAAGTAAAATCAAATGACTTACTGAAGAATTGGAAGTCCCTGGTTCAGAAGCCCCATGGCATGGAATATCTTGAGGGAATATATTTTGTCCACAACTTGAGGTCACTTCAGCTGCACAAGTTGAATTTTCCTCATTGCTTGACTTGTGAGAGGATGATGCCACAAAAATGCACTCTAGGAGGCATGATGAGGCCCACTCTCCAATATCCTCCTTATTCAAATTACTAGGCAGTTTAAAAGCTAATGCCGAGGTTTCTTTTATGTTACAGCTCTCTGCAGTTCCTCTTAAATTCTTTGCAGTTGTATTTACCTTGGAATTTAAATCATCTTCCAGGGAAGTTGTGTAGAAAGAACATTGATTGCCGACAAAGCATTCTTTTTCCAAATAACATAGAAGAATGTTTAAGGAATGATGAACAATCTTTTTGATTCCTTTTAATTGACTTCCTTCCACAAAATCAATTTTTTCTAACTCAGTACATAGAAGCTTATCCAGAATTGCATTCCATGCCATTCTAAGCAAGGCAAATTTTCTGCATATACAGCTATATCAAAGAACTTTTATTATATTGAGGGCATAATGATGGCTGCTGAATCTTTTTTATTAAAATTTAAAAATAATCTTGCAGTTTCACAAATTGGCTAACCTAGAAGTTAAAAGCATTTGATTCGTTCACTGCAATGTTAAAGTATGCAGCTGAATACTGACATGATGTCAGATGGCTCACCATTGACAAAAGCTTCTCCATAATAGTTCAATACACACAAGTCTGGCATCAGTGTGGTAAGATCAATGATGCTTTGATCTGATATGACATTGCAACTTGTAAGGTTTAAAAATTTTAAGTTTGGAAGCCAAGCAGGGATGTCACTCAATGAAGAATCGGCAACTCTGCAAAGACCCATTACACCAAGATGTTTCAGATGTGAACAGTGAGTCTTGATGTGAGCAAAGCCAATTGTAGAGATGAAACTGCACCAATCAAGGTTCAATTTAGTCAATAAAGGCACTTTGGGAAGCAATATTTCTAAAGTCCTGTCATCCATTTTATGACATTCACTAAGGTAGAGAGAAACCAGCAACACACAGTTCAGTTGAGAGAAAGCTTGTTGCAGACCATTTGGGGCTAGACTCGTACCCTTCCTGATGTACAATTTCCTGAGCTTTGAATTTCGTACAATTCTTTCTAGGGATAAATAAGTCATGTTCTCTGAGAAAGAAATTGACAACTCAGAGAGCCTTTCACATTTTGCCAACTTCCCAAATGAGATATCAGTGAGACCTTCACCATCCAGCTTCAGAATTCTAATTTGAGAGCCTTTTTCTTCAAGAAATTTTGCTATTGAGCTGTCAGTTGGATAAGGTATTCCATCTATGTCAAGATTCTCAAAAGAAGATTTACTTTGTGATAATTTATTTATGAAATCATCTGTGACCCATTTACAGTAACACAAGTTTAGAGTTTTCAAGTGTTCTAAGGCAGCAAAAGGAAAGAAAACAGATTCCTCAGGATCTTGGGCAGAAGTACCTTCTAGATTCAGGCTTTCAATTTGAGGACACTTCTCAACAAGAAGCTCTATCACTTCCTTATTTTCAATAGAATTAAATCCAATATCCAAGTGTTGCAGTTTGGGACATGACTGAGAAAGCTGTTGCAAGACAGGGATTATGTTTTCAGATTCCCGAATCTTCAAAAACAATAATTCAGGGGCAAATGAGAGCATTTCTGTCATTTCTGTTACTCCCAAGGAATTATCAGACTCAAAATGAAGGGTATGCCACAAAGATGGATGAGATGCCACATTTTTCCAATGCCTACAAACTTTAAATATTGTTGAATAAATGTAAGTTTTGCTAAGGAATGAGAAAATGTAAGTCAATAACTCATTGGGCAAATCACCAATTTCACAGACTTCTTGATGGTTTCTTTGGTTCTCAACACGGAATGAAAACGGCTCCATCTCATTCAGTATTACAAAAAATTTCACACCCTTGATATTTTTCTATTTCCATTACAGTTTAAATTACAAGCATAAGCATAATATCACAGTCTTATAAATGAGTCACAACAAATCACCATGAGGTTGCACCAGGGTATAGTATCATTATAAATTTTAAGATATCAATCCCTTTTTTGCATGGAAATATTTGGTAGGTATAACGATAATCTGTGTGAGATATTCCATTAGTATCAATCATTCAAGAAGAAGTCCAGTCAATGCAAGAAGTTATATTCAATACAAGCATAAAGAAAAAAACTACAAAAAAATTCTGGTAAATTAAATCAACAGACACACAGAGTACATGGTTATTGAGGAATCAATTTACACTCTATGATGCCAATTAGTTTTAAGAGTAATGAAAAATATGGAATTAAAAGCATAATTAATATTAACAGATCATTAAATACTCTTTCTTCAATGAGCAATCAGACTCCATATATTTTAAAAAGGTGCAAACATATGCTCTTTCATGGTTATTTCTATATATAGGTACTAAATTATCTTTCAGCAATTGATTGTACCAGTAGTCCCAAATCATACCTCAACACCAATAACCTTGCCAGCAGCACCAAAATCATTGGCCTTCAATAGAGATTACCGGTATCTGTTTTATAAACCAAACTGAACCACACCTTCCTAGAGCAATTGAAACAGTTCTTCATTTCTTTTGTGGCTTTGGAACTCAAAAAATTCTAGTTCAGACTTCTGTCCAGTATGTTACATGGTTTTTAGACAAGCAGCAAGGTACCGTATGGAGTTAGACTTACAGCATGTGCATCATCTGAGGTGGCAGCTGTGAGGTGTGGGATGATCTGGGGTTGTCAACATCTTGTCTTCTCATGGAAGAAGAGTCTCTGCAAGAACTGAGGAGAGGACCGGATGCTGCAGGTTGGTTTTCCGTTACTAAAGCTCAGAGGGTTATGGCTATGAGTAGCTCCAGCCAGTTTCCATTATGAATAAATGTCTTCCCTTCACTACTCTTAACCCAAATAATAAAACCCTCCCTGTCTTTCAACTGAATATATGCCATCAAACGGGGTAATAAGGTATGGTTTTGAGCGTTTTTTGTTAATATCTTCTTACCATGAAACATTTCAGAAATGAGTTTGGGGTCATTTTTAAGCACTTTGTGAGGGCTAACAAATGGCATCTCCAAAAAATTCCATATGCTATATGTGAGGCGCCAGACGCAAAATAAAAGCATCCCAAATTACCCTTGGGAATGGGGTAATCTGGGACACTTGCGATAAAACTCAATTTTAAAACGTTTGAAGCTTACAGAGTGTACTCATCCATTACTAACAGTACCTACTCTGAAATCTTCTTCTTACATTGTAGATGATGTAGATGTAGAATAAATAACATTTTCTGTGATTTTTACTTGTTTTTTCTTTATTGATATATTACCATATTCATTAATTACTGTATTATTGATGTGATTATTACCATATCCATGAACATGCCATTGAGCATTTACATCAACCTTGTCCATTGTATATATGACATTCTATGCACAATTTTGTGATGACCAATGATGCACTAATTATTCAATAAGTGAAATTTTTTTCACTGAGAGAGGTAAATGTAATCAAAATTCTTTGTTGTTAATCAATTTTTTTTTGTTAACTGGAGTATATAGAATTTTCACTGTTCCCTTTATGAGGTTTAACTAATCTTCAATGTTTTATAGGGTTTTAGGGTACCTACTTGAAATTCCTTTATTTATTGTGTTTCATCCATTTTCATGCCTGTGTATTCATCATCCATTCAACTAACCCCTCATCATCATATATATTATTCATTCAACTACTATATATAATGTGTACCAACTTGTTTTAGAGTTCACCTGGTTGATTGGTCTCATGTTTCATTTATCCTGCTGGTAGGTTGTGTTACCGGTTCCTTGAGTGACAAAATCCAATACTATATTGGTTGTACCGGGCCTTTAGAGCTACAAGGTTAGGAGTGCCCCTAACAATAGAATATGACCCTAGTTTGTAACTTGTTTGGTAAAATCTTTTAGAAATAAAGTCTTTAAACGTTTGAAATAGGGCATAAATGCGCCAGTACGGTATGTCGGAACAGCTGTCCCACAGCCATCCCAAAAAAGGGCACAAATAGGAACAGCCATTCCACATTTTGTAGAAAATGTTGTAGCAGCTAAACTAATCAAAATGCAGCAAAACTAGAAATAGTGGCATAAAGTTTAACATTTTTACTATCTATGTAGCATAAAGCAAGTCAGGAAATCATGCATTTAATACCGTCAACCAGGGCTACTCGGAACGATTTTGAACATTTTTCATTCATAACTTCTTACCATGAAACATTTCATAAACAAGTTTAGGCTCATTTCAAAGCTCTTTGCAAGGGCTATCACATGGCTTCTCCAAAATATCCATATGCTATTCGTAAGGTGCCAGAAGCAAAAAAAGTGTCCCGAGAAGCCCGGTCAAACGGGGCTACTCGGGACACTTGGAATAAAACTTCATTTTAAAACATTTGAAACATGCAGAGCGTACTCATCCATTACTAACAGTACTCTCAAGTCCTCCTCTTTCATTGTAGATGATGTAGAGGTAGAATAAATGACATTTTCTGTGTGATTTTTACTCATTTTTCCTTTATTGATGCAATATTACTGTATTTATGAACATGCCATTGAGCATTTACAATAACCTTGTCCACTGCAAGCTTCATATCAGCAGCCTTACAGCATTTTTTCTGTATCTGTAAGCTTACAGGACGGCTTGTAATTTCACACCATTTTAATTGGGTTAAGTGAATTTACTATAAATAAAGATTGTGAAAAACATACCTGAAACAGAAAGGACTGTTTTAGTAACAACCATCATATGTTTTGGAGAAATAAATCACAGTTTAGGTCAAATGCTTTTCATTCTATGATGCCTGGTGCACAATTCTATATATGACATGCTATGCACAAATTTGTGATGGCCGATGATGCACTAATTTTTCGACAAGCGAAATTTTTTTCGCTGAGCGAGGTAAATGTAATCAATATTCTTTGTTTTTAATCAATTTTTTTTCTTAACTGGAGCCTTTGCTAACTGAGGTTCTACTGTAAATGTGTTTTTTGGGGGTGTCCCAAATAGCCCCAGGGTAGTGTCCCGAGTAGCCCTGCCATGCAGAAATGACCACCATTTTTTTTTGGATTGAGGTACCATAAAATGGGGTAACTTAGACCACTTTTTTTCTTATAAATGATGCCATTTTCTTACTTGCTAAATGTGTTATGTAGCCTCAGTATTAGGCCTTTAATGCCCATTGACAAAATTTTTCTATGTCAAATAGTTTTTGAGTTGTGGGGGTTTTTGTAAAAAAAACGAAAAGTGGTCTAAGTTACCCCGCCGGTCTAAGTTACCCCATTTTACGGTATGTAAATTCCACAAATAAAGTTTTCATGCTGACACTTGTCTGCCACTCTTTTCTAAGCAAAATTTTTTAATAAGGCATATATTTTTTTTACTACAGACCTCAGCAGAAGTAACTTTTCAAAATATTGTTTTTCACCATTTTTTTCAGGAATTTTTCATAGCTAGTAAATGTAGTACTTTTGAACTTCCTTTATACTAGTACTACATAGATAGGAAAAATGTTGATGTTTACGCCACTTTGCAATATTCCAATTAGTTTTGCTACTTAAACAGTTTTACGCCGTGTCCGAGGACCGTCCCGAGTTACCCTGCCCGTCCTAAGTAGCCCCGGTTGACGGTATAGCAAATTTTGCGTCATTTTACTTAATGAAATTTCATGTCTGATCTTGGGAACTCCATACAAAGTGAATAAAATTAGACCCTGTTTAGTGAAAAATAAGTATTGCTTAACTTATCACTAAATAGGTATCGCTAAAAATCAATTGCGGAATAAATTATTTTTTGTACACAGAATACGTTCTAAGTAATAAGCTCTCAGCAAAGATGTCGAATTTTAGGTAAACGTTTGCAAACACTTATGCTGTAGGGTAGAAATTGCCTGAACTCAGATATTATTCGCAAACAATACTCGGCTTTTAATGCATCAACTTCAAGACGAATTCCACTCTTTTCAATGCCACTGATCTCACAGTATTAGCTTTGTACAAACAAACATGTCGATGTCAGAAATTGCTGTTTTGACTCGAACAAGCCTGATGGCAGCAGCAAACGTTGTTGGTCAGAATAATGAAATGCCAGTTAGAAAATGCATTATAATATGATACTTCCCATGTTGATATACGTAACTCTACATAAGATTTAAATTTGTCTTATATTTCTTTATATTTAAAATTTCTCAATTGTCTTCTTCTTGTTTACTGTTGTCATGGCAAATATGAACGATAAATAATTAGCAATGTAAAACGTTCTATTATTATTGAACGTAATCTCACTATTATCGAACATTCTCAGGAATGTTACCACCTCATGCTGTGTTCCCTGCACTCGACCACAAGATTGATTTACAACACAAGCTTGAGAGCCACAAACTGGCATGTGCTTCTTCATGTGGTCGCCAAAACAACCTATCTATAATAGCAATTTTTGCTACCTGGGGCAAACACTTTGAGTGCAACTTGCTGACACGCCATTAACAAAACTTCATTTCATAAATTCAATTTTACTGCAAATATTATATTGTTGCAGTATGTCAGAGTGAGGCAAAGATCGCAACATTTTTCAATGTACTTAATGCAAATAATGCAAATTGGCCTGAGTTTTAATGAAATGTCTTGAGTGTTGATATATGAAGCTTACTTTTGTATTCGAGTATTGAGCAAATTAATGAACTGATGGCAACTTATTATATTCTTGATAACCGAAATTAGCATGAAGGAGGCTCAGTATAATTATTATGGCAGTTTAACAAAGTTTTGATTTAATTAATATCGTCTCATGACTAATTTCAGTGTTCATGTGAATTTTTGTTGACCAAAGCTATAACAGTTACGAAGTCTCAAACGCTCAAAATCGTCTTGCCGCTAGATATGTTTGTGCTATTGAGTTAAAAGACAAAATGATGAAAACATCTCTTATTTGTGTCTATCGTTTGATTAAATAATTCTTCACCTGGCTATAATTAAACTGATCAATAACGCACATATATATTCATCTATATTGTATATTGTTACATAGTACATGGCCGCACCCCTGAATGGTTAAAATTATTTTTGTAATGGATTTCAAAAAGGTCAAATGTGCCCCAATGAATAATTATTTGTGCCCTAATGAACAACTTTCTTTGTTCACGTTATATCTGATTTTTAAATATTATGTTTTACTTTTAGCTCATAATACCGTCAGTGTAAATGATTGAACTGGTTAGAAATGTCCAAATTTCCTACTCACTACCTATAGTACTTTCTCATTCTTTTGCTTAAGGGGAGCGTCTGGGTCCAAAATCGAAATTTTGGCTTTTCCGGTTTTTAG